CCACAAAATTCCCATTTAAAAACATTTTAAAATGTAATTTTTTTTTACTTTTATTATAAAATGTGTAGGAAATCTGCAGTTTTTTTTTTCCAAGTCTGATCCACGTTGCACCGCCGACTTTGGAAAGGAAAGCATCTAGCAAACAAATACATGACTTGTGAATCCGCACACACCTGTGGAGGTCTTGTCTCTGAACTGCTCCAGCTTCATGAGGGTGGCGTTGGTCAGCTCATCCAGCTGCAGGTCCTTTGGAGGCATGAAGAAAGCTGACATACTGTTCACTGTCATCTACAGAAAGAACAAACCACACTTAACATACTGTATACTCCACATTATCCATTCATAGCATACAGCAGGGTTTCCCAGATGGGGGTTCCTGAGTAATTAATCATATCATACAAATGTAAAATGAAACATAAGAGGTCTAAACAATTAATATAAATAAAACTGAAATCAAGACATGGCTTAGCATGATTATTAAACCCCAAAAGGCTTTGATTTACCCCGATGCACTACGTGTGTTTATTTACACGTGAGCAGCTGCTATAAATTTGAGCATTTGTGAACACAGCATGGGGCCAGGACCATTTTCGGTTCACATCTGCATAACATTTCTCAGAGCAGGTTTTTTGTTTTTAGCATTTTACCAGATTTGTAACAAGAAGTGTTTCTAAACCTGTAATCGACTACCTTTAAAGAGACTTGGAAAAGCGTTCCTGCATTTTCCCCCCAAAATAAAAGCTTGAGAATTAAACATTTGAAAGTGAATAAATTAACATAAATATTAGTAATGTAACTTGTAGAATGAAATAAAAATGATTAGAATATCAAATATTATTTTCCTTATACAGTACAATTGTATTATTACAGTTTCTAATGCATACAGTTTCTAATGGTAAAATGCGTATATTTCTGTCTTTTTTGCCTATTTTTCTAGAATTAAGGTAATAATAATAATAATAATACAATTCTACTTTTACTATATTTCTAAAATTCTACTGACATCAGATTGTGGCCCCTTATATATTTCTGCTGCTGAATTATCTAGGCAAAATAACAGACATTTTCAAATAAGATTAAGTGTTTATCAAAAAGCAGTTAAAATTGCTATGGCCATATTTGACAAAATATTCACAATATAATTTTTTGACCAAATAGTGCAGCCCTTTTACATGCATTTCATGTACCCATTAACCAACATCAGATTGCATCACATGCAAATGTGTTGTTAAATTATTGAAATATTAACTTAATCTCAAGAAAATATTATACGACAAAGGAGCTCAAAAGGTTTTTTCCCCCCCCAGTCATAGAGAGATGCTCCCTCACACTCACAGCGTCATAGATGATCTCCAGCGCCTGGGACTCGATGCGGAGTCTCTGGTCTGCACTCGCGTCCAGTGGGTTAGTCTCAAACATGAGGTCCAGTAAAGCCGTATCTTTCATCCCGGCCACATGACGTGGAGACAGCAGGATGGGGGCCGACCTGCCTCGTGGGAGACCAGACACTTCAAACGATGACAGCTGAGCAGAGATCCTGACAAGTAAAACATTATGTCATACAACAGCATGCTCTGGCTTACAGGAATTCTGCAGAACAAAAATTATTGTTACACTAATGTCAAGACGTGGCAAGACATTCTGGAGGCTTAAAAAGCCAAATGTGCAACTTGTATGTCTTCTGCACATCATGTGAAAGTTACGTCAAGATTTATTCGAGTGCAACATCTTGCCACATAGACTTTCATTGTAAGTGCATTATTGTAAATGTGTTTTGTGCTTGTTTCACAATTGAGGAACAAGTTAAAAGTATTTGTCAACAGCAAGTGTGACACTAAGTTGTATCGAACACAGAAAATCCTTCAAATTAAATGAATAAAAGTGGGTGAGATGAGTGGACTTGAGAAGAGAACACGGTACTTTATTGCTTGGGCCGCAGGTCTTTGAGTCAGCATGGCTTTCAGATCAATGACGGACAGTTGGATTATCTCCGGCTTCTCTCGGCTCTCTTTGATTGACAGAGACATGCGATTAAGCTGGAAATGTATCTTCATATTTTCAAACTGCAAACAAAAATATTAGTCAGGGGCGTGATGCTTTACATGAACTGAAGATGTGTAATTTCAATGGACTGGAACATCCTGCTTATACAAGAAGGCTAAAATTAGTTATACTGTTCATAAGTTTGGGATCAGTAAGGGGATCAATAATTGATTATAAGTGACAGTAACAACATTTATAATGCCACAAATTATTTATATTTGAAATAAATGCTGCTGCTCCTAACTTTCTATTCATCAAGAATCATGGAGAAAAAATCACTGTGTGAAATATGAAGCATTACAACTGTTTTCAACATTGATAATAGTAAAAAATGCCTCTTCAGCAGTAAATCAGTATATTAGAATGATTTCTGAAGGATCATGTGACACTGAAGACTGGAGGAATGATGCTGAAAATTCAGCTTTGATCACAAGAATAAACTACATTTTATTATATACTGGTAACACTTCACAATAAGATCCATTAGTTAACATTAATTAATGTATTAACTAACAATGAGCAATACATTTGTTACTGTATTAATCTCTGTTAATGTTAATTACTAAAAGTACAACTGTTCATTGTTAGTTCATGTTAGCTCAGGTACATTATTTAACAGATACAACTTAAAATTTGAATAAAATGTTAAAACTGAGATTACTAAATGATTTACAAGTATTTTTCATTGTTAGTTCATGTTAACTAATGTTAACAAATGGAACCTTATTGTAAATTGTTTCCATACATATTCACATAAAAAAGTAGTTATTTTAATAATAATTCATAATATTACCAGCAGACGTCTTTCAAAAAACATTTTAAAAACTGTAAATATTCCAAACAGTAGTGTAGATATATATTCACATGTATACACTTTGATGCAAGTCAAGTTAGGGAATATATCTTGCATAAACACTTATAAAAATCTATAAAAGAAACTAACTTCTAAAAACTGGATTTACATATGTGATGATTGTTTGTCACTAACATTTTTTGGCAGGTTAGGATTGACGGCTGTATCGCTGTATCCAATGGCAGCATATAGTTTGGCTTTCTCCGCTGGAGTCATTAGCTCATCAAAACCTGAAAGATATGAACAGAAGCTCAGCAAATCTATCAGAAACAGATGATGTGGAATATTTAAATATTA